TGTGTTATTGTTTATGTCCTGATAAAACTGATAAAAACACTTGTTCAAGTCCAGTATGTTTTATTCTAGTTCCGCGGAGAACTACTGAGAGCATAGGCTTCATGGCAATAGAGAAATGAGTGTGTGTTCCTGTATCAGTTTGTTAAGTCAAATAGTGAGAGACAAAATATCACTTACATTAACTTACGTTAAAGCTGCATACCATAGGGGTACCTGACCATTTAAGCAGAACATGCAAAGAACCATCATTCACATCTTGTTTTCTTTTATTGATGAGGAAACTGAATGTTTGAAGATCAGTCCTGAAAAGATGTTTTTCTGTGTGGAAAGGCTTTTTTTCCCCCTAGGTGTACATATGGCTTAATCGGGGTGATTTAGATTTCTAGGATCAAGAGGTGTCACAAAAGAAACAGCTCCTGACAAAATATTGATAAGGTAGGGGGTGTGAAGGCAGAGTTTTGGGCTGTGAATGATCAGTCAAGTTAAGCATTGCATTCAGAGAAGAAAATTTTCTGAAGTATAGGAAAGGTATGTGACTGTCTCATACTGTTGAGAAACTCTCTGGTACAGACATTGAAGTTCTTGGGCACTGAAACTCCTTTATTCCTCTGTAAATTTAGATGACTTGAAAGTATTAAAGAAAAAGATTTCAGCATAATAGAATCACAACCCATATTTTCATAATTTTTCCCTGCTTATATCATCTACCTATTTACTGTGTGTGACAAATCCAGACTTGCTTGCCATGGAGAAAACTGACCCCTCTGCCAGGTAGTAGAACTTTTCCACTGCTCTGTGATAATTTTTGCCTTTTGAACACCTTCTCCAAACACAGCAGAACTATTTGACTCTATTGATAAACAATAGAGTTGATAAACAATTTAAGAAAAGCCAGTGACTTCTGCTATGCAGATTATTATGGTGGTTGTAGAATCACTGGAAATAGCCATTCTATGCAAGGATGACACAGGGCAGAGATCCTGCAGTCAGAGCCAGGCTATGACTGGAACCCACTGAGGAAAAGGACTGTGACACATGGACTCAGTAAGCAGCACAGATCTGACAGGACCCAGCTCCATTTGCTTGGCTGTAGGTTTGGAGGAAGAAACTCAGAGCAGAAACTATGTGCAGTAAGTTTGGCTAGCAGCACCCAGGCTGGACATGCCACATATTTGCATGTCACCTATGGGCAAGTATATTTTTAATATGCTCCAAACAAGATGTGGTTTTCATTCCTGAGGCTCTCTGCAGATAACCCCACCATATCCAGTAACTTCTAAAATAGTTCCTGCAGTTTGTGCAGATGTAACCAGCTCACCCAGTTCTCTGCATAGCATCTGGCCTGCCTGGAGAAAGCATGTAAACACCTCTTGCCTTCAACAAGTAGGAAATGTCCCAAAGCATCTATTTTTACCAGAGTGAAGCTGAGTTGCTGTGTTACAGCTGAAACAAAGAGTAATTAGCAATTCACTGAAAAGATACAAGAAAAGAAATCATACAAAGGGGAGTCCTTGCTGCTATCTCACTTTCCTGATTCTTATATCTTACTTCCTATTTCTGGCTTTTCATTTTGGACTTTGCAGCTCAGCTTCCTTTTGGTGTTTCCCTTTGAATTTTTGTCTCTCATATAGCATTGTGCTTATGTTTTTTTGTAAAGGAAGCCTGGGAAAAGGTTGGATCTTTCAGGAATGTGGGGTTACATATTTTTAGTTTAGGGACTGCCTTTTGGAAATGAGCAACAAGGGTCATGCTTTAAACCTTTTCCTATGTTTAAAGAGATATTTGTTCTTCCTGCTTATCCCAACTTTATGTATTCCAAAGACTGGATAGCGACAGTGGCCAGAATGTTTGAGTTCAGAAGAGTTGAAGTGAGTATTTCACTGTCTAAAGAGTAAAACCAATAAAGCCTATGAATAGATTGCTCCCATATTTCAGCACAGACCAATCATGTATCATGAAGTATGTCATTCCATGGGGATTTTTAACAAGTGGGGTCAGACTATTCTTAAATAGAACTTCAAGACCATCTCAAAGGCTGCTTTTGTTTGAGAAATAAATTATTTACAAAAGAACTAGAAAAATAGTGCTTCAGCCGGAAACACAGCTCACTGACACTGGATTGCTTGGTTCCCTGTAAAGCATTGACCCCAAGGGTTGAAACATTTTTGCTTCTAGAAGGAATGCCAAACATTATACATGATGATGTAATTATGATGCAATCTGGCACCAAGACAATTAATACTGTAAAATTAGAAAAAAAAATTAACTCTGATCTGATCCAGAAGATATTCCACATTTAATGTGTATTTATACCAGAAGTTAAATAATGGTGGCAAATTTTGTGTTGTTAATAGTTAGGGAAGCTTCATTAAATCCCATTGCATCAGTTTTCAAGGGAGAGCTTAGTTCAGGGCTTTACAAGATCAAGCTTTTCATTAGAAAGAAAAGCTTAATGGATTCAACAGGTGAAACAACAGAGAAACATTAAAACCAGAGAGAGTGACATTGGATCTATTTCCCTACCTAATCAGTGGACAGTGTGGAAGATCATAGTATCATTATTTCCTCCATGATACTCATACATAAGCCAGACATCTATCTGTTCATATTGTTTTCTTCCATTACATGTATTTTTTAATCTATTGTAATAATTTGCTTTGGCTTCTAGCTCCAAGCACAGAATACAGTTTCCATCTTATTCCAAATAATATTGGCTAGTTGCTAGGGGAGTGTGCTGATTCTTTTACAATTGCTTTTCCTCACCACATCTGTCTGTAATTTTTCTATTTATCATCTCACTAGGACATTTTTCCTGTGAAAAATCCAAACGTGAAATATAGCCCTTTCAGATCTTGTTTGGTTTTTTATACAAGGAGCATTTAATCTACATATTTACAGAATAGGATTTTACCAGCTAGTGGTTACTACCAGGCATAAATGCCTAAATGCATTTGTGGATGGGTCTGCACGCTCCTCTGTTGTCTCCTCTAAGTGAGCAAGCAGGTATGAATTGAAGTGCAGGTGAATTAATTTAAGACTGAGTCTTCCTGCTCCTTGAAGTTTCATACACTGTCTGCAACCTGCTTCCTTGGGCTATTTCACCCTTGTTAGCAGATTTATCTGGGGTGTTGAAATGGTGACTGGCCTCAGCTGTATTTCCTGTACCTCTGACTGAGGATGCTAAGGCATCTCTCCTCCACTGAGGAACTGCCCAGAGGGATTTATGCTGGCTCCTCAGTCCCACAGGTTACAGTCTGACCTATTAGTATAAACCAATGTCAATTTTAGTTGATGCTATGCCAGCAGACATGGGCAGCAATTTACATTTTTTGGCTGATCTGTGAACTGTGGAGGAGATGTTGAGATAAATTTCTAATTCATCTGCTCATTTTAACCTTATACTTTTGTTCCTCCTCTGGTTTTAGCTGCAATGTTCATTTCCATATCTGAAGTGTTCCTTTCACTTCTCAGAGGATAGTTGCTTTGTATTTTGAAGATGAAGCTGTCCTACTACTGCTAATTGCTGTCATCTCATGGCTACCAATAGCACTTTCTTGGTTTATACAAAACCTCAACCTAATGCTTTAGTTTTTACACTTCAGGTTCATTAATTGCTCCAAGAATACTTGTGAAGTGTGAGAATACATGTGAATATATGTGCACAATCTTGTGAACATAAACATATGCCAAGAGGCAAATGTGATTAAAAGAACTGCATTTCATGTGATTATATACTGTATTGGATGGATGGCTGCAAATGTTTCACCAAGTGTCATCTCCCTTTGACAAGTGCTAAATCCCTCCCTCTCCTCCCCTCCCCTTCTCTCCCCACATACCAGAAGTGTACAAGAGTATAAAAAACCAACAATATGGTGGTTTTCCTCACCTTCTTCACAAGAGAGAAGAGTTAAGCATTTTGTTTCCTTTTTATCAATTAACATTTGCATTCATGAAGGTTTTCCTGCTCTCCTGTATTTCCAGCAGAATCATTCATTTTATTTGGCAGCCTACTGGCAGTGTCTTTAGCCCAGTTGAGACACAGGATTCCCAAAGGGCAAGCTGGTCACACACAATTCAGTTTGCTTCGGTTCCCACTAACTTCCCTGGCAACAACTTTTGGTATTCAGAGGTTTATTTATGGCTAGCTTTATTCCTTTTTTCCTTTCCTGTAGATTTTTCCTTAGTGCAGAAATTGTCATATCTTCAGTGGCTCATCAGTTTCACTGGACTCTTCAGTTGTTTGCTGTTCCTTGTCAAGGCTCTGTCAGGATGAATAAAAACTAAGAGGGGAGACAGGGGAAATTGAGACTTGTTTTCTGTTTATTTACATTGAGCAACATCAGGACATCTCACAGAGTGTCTCAAAATAGAAGTGGTATAAAGTGGGGGAGAATCACCCCCTTGGATCAATGTTAAGGCTGTGTGGATGGTGCTGACGATGGATGGAGATTTCCCCTGTGGCTGTGAAGTTAGTGCAGCTCACTGATCATTCTCCTGAACTTCCTGTGGAATATCCCACAAAATACTGATTTCTCTCTGACCAGTTTTTCATTCTAGCAGTGATCTTTGAGTGAAATGTTTAATTAATCTCCACCTAAATACTGATTAAAAAGTGCTATTTTGATGGAGGCAGAAAAAACTACTGAAACATCTGAGCTTGGCTGTTAAATGACATGATCTCAATTCCTTAAAGTAACTATCCACGTCACCTAAGAGGGTATGGCAAAGATTTATTCTATTAAAGGTTATTCTTTCAGCAGTGAGGTGATTCAATGTGATTTTCTTCTGGCTGTATGAGCTATGATAGCAAGGCAGAGATCTCCTGTCAGCAGTGTGCCCAGCGTCAGAGCAATCCCCGTCCTGCAAGAAGGTATGTGACCTACTCAGGGTTGATTCCCCTCCCCCCCCCCCCCCCCCCCCCCCCCTTTTGTGTGTGCTTTTTTTAAAAAAAAATCTTCCTCCTTTTTTTTTCTCCTTTTTTTTTTTTTTTATTTTGGCAGACGTCCTTGAGCATTTGAAACGGATGTGAGAGTGTTTTTAGTCCTCATGCAAAACAACCAACTAAACATAACAGATTACATCAGCTCAGGCTTTTCAATTCCTGGATGGCAGCAGAGTGCTAATCCAACCTTCATCCTGGATTTCATAAACTGAAACAAGGGAGGCTGGCAGGAGCAGCGCTGCCGGATTGAGGAAGCTGACGACGGTGCAACATGTGGGCAACACACTTTATAAAGCTCATAAACTTGTAGGCTGATGTGTGCAGCTACCACTTTGGATTCTGTACTGCTGCTTCCCTCAGCAAGAGGCACCAGCAGGCTGAGCACTAAAACCTGCTCTTTGGGATGGAGCATTTACCCCTGCAAGACATGAAGGGCTTCCTGTTTCTCACACTCCTCCTGATGCCCGTGCATGCTGGAACTGCTTGGAGTGCGAAATATGCAGTAGATTGTCCTGAGCCCTGTGACAGTAACGCATGCAAAAGTACCTTCCGCTGTAAGCGAACGGTGCTGGATGACTGTGGCTGCTGCAGAGTCTGTGCAGCTGCTCTGGGGGAGACTTGCTATCGTACAGTCTCGGGTATGGATGGTGTCAAGTGTGGCCCTGGGCTGAAGTGCCAGTTTTACACTGAGGAGGATGACTTTGGTGATGAATTTGGTATCTGCAAAGGTAACAATATTCACTTTGCATGCACCCACTGTGGCGATTTGACAGAAACCTACATGTGAGCTTGCCTCCTGCTTGAAAGGTCTAAAGTGGGATTTTTCTGGAAAGTAAAAAATACCTGCTGGTATTAGAAAGTGTTACAGGTAGAGGGGCAGGGTTATTAATGTGAGAATATTGTTTAGACTTGGGGACATGTGTGAGGAAACACAGACAGGGTGTGCTCAGATATGAGATTTTTGACTGGGACTTGGGAGACCCAGGCACTAGTCCTGACGTTTCCACTGATTTGGTGGGTGGCTTTCTTTAAATTGCAAAGACTTTAATCCTGCAAATCCAACCTTGTCACAGGGTTCCTGCCCCTGCTGCATTCTCTGTGGGTGATGTTCCCTCTGGCACTGCCAGCTGCATGCCCAGGGACCAGGTGCTCACTCTGAGGTCTGGGAGATGGAGATAACAGCACTACCTGAGTGCCTCGGGGACATTGCTGTGTTTAATTTAGTCCTGCTTTTGAGAGGCTCAACTACCCTAGGGTCAGGGAAGGCAAACAGTGACCCTCCTCCCTGAAAAATGGGAATAACAGAACAGAGACTGACTGTGAGATGCGCAGCCAGCCACTGCTTTCAGCTTATTCCAGGTATGCTGCATGCTAAATTCTTTAGTCAGAGGCTAAAATGGCGTTTTTTGTTTAAGACCTATTGTCGCTCCATGCAACATCCAGAATCTTTAAAAGGAGAGGAGGTATTATGCTAATAAGTATGATGACAATTTTAAAAAATGAACTATTTTTAAAAAAGAGTTTGCAAAGCATGAATGCAGTGGGTTTTCCTGTGTTTGTGTGCCACTTCAGTAAGTAAATACAGATAAGCCTTAGAATAGCTTCCTTAAAAGGGAAGATGTCTTGGCAGTTAAATATCAGGAGTATTAACAAACTCAGTTAAAGTAATGCCTTAGGACCAGATGCTGCAGAAATCATTCAGGTTGACTTACATATAGAACACACTTACTTACAGTATTTAAAAACAAATTCATGTGCATGGTTGAGTGCCAAACCCAAATACTAATTTTAGTTCTAAAGACTAGAACTTAGGCATAAAGATCATATTTTTTGTGCATTCATGAGAAAAGTATCTTACTGAGATAGTTGGTTGATCTTCACTTTATTAAAAATTACCACAGTGCAAGATCCTGCCTATAATTCTTTTAACAGTTCCTTGGATTTAGTATATACTTTTCAGTTTCCTTATAGGAATTTCTTTGCAATACACTTTGAATAGGAAAAAAGAAATATTGAGGGACATGAGATCTGAATTCCCATAGCTGAATCTTGGATACTCTGGAGAAAATGCAAAGTAAAATGTTTGGGGTTTTCTCCCATTCAGTCAGTGGAAAAACTCTTATAAATTTCAATAAAACCATATCTTGACTTAGAATTGTAAATTTGTCCTTAAATCTTATATTCCTCATATATTTATTTGCACTAAATATTATAGATATAATTTGTAATTATTTTTCTTTTTTCACCTAAGCTCTGAGGTAGCACAACCTTTCTCTGTACATATGAGAATTTGATTAGGCAAAGTATGGGTCTAAATATTATTATTTTATATATGCGTTTACAGCTATGATACCAGGTCATTCACTCATTTTAATAATTTCTATGTTTGTAGTAAATGATAGACTCAGCATAGCTAAATTCTCTCTAGCTTCCTGCAAATATTTTACTTTGAAGTTCTGAAAAATTGATCTGAACTCTCTGTTCTTCAATTTCTTTTTTCTAAAATGGGCAGTATATGTTTCAGAACAATTTTTGGTTACTTTTATTACTATAAGAGTGCATCATATTATTGTCAACAATCTCATTCTTGTCCAAAACAGACTAAAGGAATACTAGTGCTCTTGCTTCCCTTAAATCACTGGGAGCTATTAGCAATACATTTAGGAGCAGGCTACTGCCAAACAAAACCTTCTAGTTGTAAAATTGACTCAGACTTGAGTTTCATCAAATATGAAGAGCAGCATCAATGCCAGGATTTTTCCACACAGAGCCAAGTGCTTTGGGCTCAGTCTTGTTTCCATGTTGTTGCGCACAGCTTTACATCCCAGCTCTCCAGGCTGAGTACCTGCAGCAGGCAGATTGATGCTCCATGTAGTGTGAGCTCTTCACTTGTCTACCAGGGAGGATGTGCACACAAAACTTGTTTCACTTCAGCAGGATTATGGTTTAGTTTTATGTGATCAAGCAGCAAGTCAAAGAGTGTCCTTCTTGGGAAGGGGTGTATGTTGAAGCTCAGTATGGTTTTCCAGGGTGGAGGGACTCACTGTGTAGTCAGTTTAAAGGAACTGGTTGATTTTCTAGGGCTTTTCATTTATAAAACATACCTGTTGTATTTGCAGAGAATCGTAAAATTTTGGCTTCACTTTAGTGCATTAGACTGTTTTTCAGATTGCCCAGGCTGCATAGGAAAACTAAATAATTTGCACTGACTTAAGAGGACTGGACAAACTGAGAAGGACAACCCTATTGTGAGGTGATACATGCACGGAAACTATGCTTGGATCACGAGGCCCCAGAGCTGAAAGTGTGAGACAAAATGAGGGAGAGGTATCATTTGTGCATATTATGGTCACCTTTCTTAAGGTTTTTATGGAAGCCTGGGCTAGATGGTTCCTTGGTGCAGCCCTTTATTGGTCATTCATCTGTGCTTAGGAGGTGAATCCAAAACTCTCTAGACATTGCCATTTAAGGTGACCGTGTACCCTGTGTTGGCAAGGATAGTCTGAACATAAAGACCTTTCTCCTGGGATAGCTCAAACTTCTCTTGGGAATGATCTCATGTTTGGGGTTTTGGAAAGGACATGTTGGACATGGATTTTTCTTGGCTCCATCTTTTCAGCAATGGTCCTGGGATGGTACCCTCTTCAACAGCAAGGCAGAGGAAGACAAGAGCTGTGATCCCTAGTTTCAACTCTGGGAAGTTATGCAATCCAACAAGTGATATGTGTCAGCTATGGGACAGGGCAAATCCCCTGCACCTGACTTAATTTTCTTTGGAAAACATTCAGTCCCATCTTAGCAGCTGTTCTTTGGTGCTTCTCCACAAGCTTGCTCAAGGATGGGAGGTTTGAACTGGGGCTTTGACCATTGCAGTACAACCAAGGAGTTGTCCCAGTGCCGGTGATCCCTTCGAGGATACTCAGGGTATGGCTGGAGACATAAGTGAGCCCCTGTCTGTCTGCCATGGTAAAATAGACCTTTGCTATCTGAGAAGCTGTTGGATAGAAGAAGGCTCTTCCCTAAGAGCCAGTAGCATCTACAGGCAGAGTGCATTTGCTGGATAGCTCCTCAGGGTCAGGTTGCATCCTCCACCCAGAGAGAAAGCAGAGGCCCTGACAACAGTAGTCCAGTACCAGCAACAGATTGCAGCTCTAAGTCATGACAGTTATGTAAGTCAGACAATACCATGCCCAAGAGTGAATTCAGGGACTTTCTGGAGTCATCTTCATTTCTAATTCTTAATTTTTAAATCCAATGCTAGTCCAATTTTGAATGCATCCTCTATGATTACATACTTATATATTGTATATTACTTTTAACTTGAATTTTAATATTAAGAGTGTTTCAGAGAAGGATTACTGATAGGACGTTTTTTAAATAAGTTAGAGGAAACAAAATTATTTATATGATGTGTGTCAAGGTTAGTTAATACTGGAAAATACTTGTAAAAAGCAGTCAGCATGCTGAAATCTTGTAGCTAGGGTTTAGCTGACCTCCACTCAAAGGTTTTCCACTTTCAAGGACATAAGCAGGCCAGCGATCAACACAGATGCTGACTTGGATCACTGAGAACCACTTTGCTATAATTTTTTTTCCAGAGTGTCCCTACGGTAGCTATGGAATGGAATGCAGGAAAACATGCAACTGTCCCTCTGGCATCTGTGACAGAGTAACAGGGAAGTGTTTGAAGTTCCCATTTTTTCAACTCTCTGCTTCAAAGCCTCCCAATCGACGGAAAATAATTTCACACACAGGTAAGACTTTGTGGGGCAGTTGATTTTAGCAGAAAACACCTTGTCCATGATCTACTACCATGCTGTGTACGCTGTGTGTGAGTGATGTGTACTTTGGTGGAGCTGTGCAAAACGCTCACAGCACAAGGTACGTTAATTTTTCTTATTGGCAGCTCACTTAACATGTGTCAAGGACTTAGATCGTCTGTGACACATCATAAAAACATTTTGGAATCTTAAACATGGGCAAAATACTTTGTAGCTCTTTCCTGTGCTAACACTACAACATCATCTGTGCAATTGGAGGCTAGGGTTTGCATTAGTCAGTTCAGATGTGATAACATGTAGCTGCTTTGTGTAGAATAGGATTTCACTGCTAGCTAACTGCTAGCTAACATGGTAAAACAAACATTTTTTTTCCCCATGAAGACAGAACTTTATATGTTTTCAGTTGTCAGTGAACGGTTTTATGAAAAGTTCTATTGTAGTCATTTATCACAGTATCTCTGGAATAAGTTCTTACCTTTACAATTATGTTTGAAGCTTCTAACAGATCTTTCCAGAATTTAAAAAAAAAAAAAAAAAAGAAAAGAAAAAGGAATGTGAGAAACTAAAGTGATTTTGAGGCGGGGAGGAAAGATCACTGAAATGTTTAGATCTGGGATTAAAAATTTTCCCCTTATTTTCCACCTGATGATACTGAGGTATGTTTGACTGAATAATGTTTACTTTAAATATAAACACAAACCAAAATAAATACAAATGTGAAGAGAAGTTAAAAAAAAAATTAAAAAATCAGAGACTTAATCCTAGAACTACTGGGAGATTTATAAGACTTCATCCAAAGGTCTTTGGATTTTATTTCTTTTTCAACTGCAGTTTGTGTGCCTTAATTTTACTCCTGTTATATTAAGCTAGCTAAAGTTTGCTACCTTAATACATGATTTAAGTTTCCCCCCTTCTCTGTTTAGAGAAAGTTAGATGGAAGCAAACTTTCTCAACTTATGCTTATATCACATTTAAAATCATATTTTTCTGTATCTAGCCCATATTCGAAATCTTCCCAGGCAGCCTTATTTTCATTGGTTCCTCCTCCCCTTCCCTCTTTTGCCCTTGCCTTTGGTCCCAAACTATCTGCTGCCCCTAAATTTAACAGCTTGTCTGATCACAGCCATGATGAGATATTTACCACACAGAAACAAAGATTGGTTTTTACACCTGCAAAGGTTTCATACTGACTTCTGTCCTTCCAGAGGTCACTGGAAGCAGACAGAAGACGCTGGGTGGTACTCCATGGGGTGGTCACCCAGAGTTTCATTTAATAATGGCCTTCAGAGGTAGCTAAGGCATCTATGAGATCTTCACTGTATTAAAACAACTGCAAATGCTTCCGTATTTTAAACAGGCAAGTTTCTGACCCATATGTTTTATAAAAACATTATGGCTACACATATCCTAGTAAAATGAAAGGTGTTAGAGTGTGTTCCTGTGCATTGCAATTTGACCCCTGCACAGTCAAACAGTAGGGCAACTGATGGCATGCTTTGTCCCAGCCCAGCTAGCTGTGCCAAACAACCTCAGCCACAGCTCAGGAATCAGGCTCAGCCAGAGACTGTTTCCAGTTGACAAACTAGATATCATTTTATCCTATTTTTGGAGAGTGAGAGAGTTTAGTGGCATGCACCAGGCTATTCCATACTAGCTGGCTGTAGTCAGAGAATAGCTCCAGGTGCTTTAATTTGCTGCTGTAGCTGTTGAGGATATGTTGCTTAGTCCCATGTCACACTGGAGCAAGTGTTACAGTCAGAACTGGAAACTGAAGTCACATCATCAGCCTCATGCTTAAACTATTAGAAAACACATCTGACTAACGTCTTAATTTGGCAGAAATTTTGCAGCTAGGTAATTGGAGGCATTTAGGGAGATTTCTGCAAATTTGCCAGTTAAGGTTTTTCTGAAGTATTCCAAAAAGGAGGGACATTGATGAACAATATTTTAATGCTCTTATATTTGTGAAATCCACCTTTATTTTTGTATCTTTTCAGACAATGACATGGCATCAGGGGATGGAAATTCTGTAAAAGAGGAATTTGTTAAAGAGAAAGCTATTCACCCTCCGATAATGAAATGGCTAAATCCTCGCTGATATTTGCTTACACTTGTAAGACTTTCAAGTGAATGCATTTCTCACAGATTAATGAATAGGCAACAACACACTTTAAGAACAAAGTAGATCTATAGCATATGAAAATGTAATCTCTGAAGGTCAATTGTGATCTGTTTTTAATGAAAAAAATGTTTACTTTAAAATAGACTGTACAGTGTATATGATTTTTGATATTTGTTTTGATAAGTATTTGAACAGAAATGTATTGTGGATTCTTGAATGTATAGTAAAACTGAAAACCTAACGTGATCATTTAAATAATGCCAGAGGCCAACTCCTACAGCCCGAGGCTGGGGAAGCTCTCACTGAAATCAGGGGACAGTTTGGGTGAGTGATACTATTGATGTGGAGCCAACATGAAAGAAACAAATCCCAGGACAGAAAGCAACACCCCTGAATCTCAATAATAATAACATGGGAGAACAACAGTGTGATTAAATTAACCAACGTTAGTTGCTAGTAATTTTCTGGGTTTTGGAAGCTTGGTGACAATTCCTTGGAGATAAATATGCCTTTCTTCAGTGAGAATAGACCCAGCACTTCAGTTTATACATTATGAATAACTCAGGCAAAACACTGCAGACATATATTGTATTTAGGTAGATTTCTAAAGCTAAATTTTGTACAGAGAAACAGCAGATTGGTAAATTCTACTGATTTGTAGAAGGGGATCTGAAACAAAAGAAGCTGCTTACCATTATTTAAATATATATATTTCTATAAACCAACTAATTGGTGCCATTAAGATGACATCTGCATTTTTTGGAGAAGAGTGGGTCCAATGCAAGAGGCCAGCAAATGGACCTTTATATTTTCCACCTTGATTGTTGGCTACAGCCCAGATCTGATTCACAAGGAGTTTATTTGATCTAGTGTAGGGAAGACTTAGACCCTCAGCAAGTAGTAGTTCAGTCAAGACTACAGTATTTTGGTATCCAGTACTTTGTGTCTCAATTGCATGAGCAAGCTGTCCTGTTTCAGCCAGGAGAACAACTTATATGTGTTAGTGTGTTGCAGAACTGGCAGTCCCTCATTCAGTCCAAACAGGACGGATGATACGTGTGTAAGTCGAAAATCACCACTGAGGTGGATTTGCTAATATGTCTGGAAACAACCAGATACTCAGATAATAGAAATTGGTGTAGCTGTGTCAATGAATCTGGATTGTGTGAGTTTAGAAATTGCCTTGAAACGCGGAGCACTCCCATTGGAAATCTGGCTTGAATTGAATAATTCCTTTGAAATTGATGTGAGCTTTGACAATGACTTCAGTAAAAGAAGGAACATATAGTTCAGCAGTCAAAATTTAGTTCAGGATCTGAAAACATACTTTTAAACTAGGAACAACAGAAACTTTTGAGGAGTTGATCCAAGGCCAACAGCTGTGGAAGCAGGATGCTTTCACCAGGGAAAGCAGAGATTAATCATGCTGCTCTACAACAAGAGGATGATGACAACAATAGACATCCAGACATCAGTACAGCAGTGCAGGCTCTCCTGCCATGATAATTGGAGACATATGAACGTAAATTTCAAACTAGCATATACCACATTTCAACTTGTGTTGAATGTTAGGGTCTGAGAGGGAGCAATTTTATCTTGGGCTGTTTACAAGCAAGTGTATTGATTCTCATCTACTGATATCAAAAGTAATTTTTTCTTGATTTCAGTGAGAGCAGGATCAAATCCACAGTCCTTGAGCAGATGATGACAATTATTTAAAGAACATAGTAAATATTGCATACATTATTAATATTTTGCAAGTGTCATAAATGGCATTATGAGTTCTTGAATGTAAATCTAATAAGCTGGTTGGTTTTAAAAAATGTAAGATTATTATTGTTCAATTAAAAAAAAACAACTGAAAGCATCACTGTCTATTGTGTCGATCTATTGATGATAGAGTAAGACTGATGGTGATGGCACAGCCACAGTGCATGCAGATTAGGCACAGTTTTGCTCCCAAATCCACAGAAACACTTTCACAATGGCTGCATCTATTTCAGCAAATTTGCTGGGGACTATTCACCAATGCTGAAGCTGTGTGGTGGCCCATGTCCACAATGACTTGTGTCCATACCTTTCAACCACTTTCATCTCCAAAATGAGGTGGCTGGATCCAAGTTGCCTACCAGGGACAGCCACTCCTTGGTCAACCCCAGAACAAGAAGGGTTTGACAGTTGTCCTGCTGGCCTGGCCACCACCATGCCAGGGACCATTTAGCCCTGGAGAAGTGCCTACAACTCCTTTAGACTGTTTCATTTACCCTAAAGTAGTAACCTGCGAATCCAGACCTACAAGTCAGGAGAAAGGAGAAGATGGAGAGGGATGCCTTGCAGACAATTTTGGATGATTTCTACACTTTTTCATCAAACTTATAAAATGCTTTTGCATTTCTTCAGCTGCTCCAGTGATAGATTGCTCCACACAGAATAGACTTCAGACTGAAATTATAGTATAAGCAAATTTTCTCTCTTATCCTTTGAAATGTCTACCTGTTGCTACTAGTGACAATAGGACTACACCAGTATTTGAAATAATGCAACCATAGAATCATAGAATAGTTTAGATTGGAAAAGACCTTTAAAATCATTTGAGTTCAACTGTTAACCCAGCACTGCCAAGTCCACCCCCATGTCCCCCAAACGCTACAACTACATATCTCTTAAATACCTTCAGGGATGGTGACTCCACCAGTTCCTTGGGTAGCCTGGTCCAATGCTTGACAACCCTTTCCATGAACAAATTTTTCCTAATATACAATCCAAGCCTCCCCTAGCACAACTTCAGGCCATTTGCTCTTATCCCATCACTTGCTACCCAGGAGAAGAGACTGAACACCACCAGGCCACAACGTCCTTTCAGGTAGTTGTAGAGAGTGATAAGGTCACCCCTGAGCCTCCTCTTCTCCAGGCTAACCAACTCCAGCTCCCTCAGCAGCTCCTCACAGGACCCGTGCTCTAGACCCTTCACCAGCTCTATTCCTCTTGTCTGGACACACTCCAGCATGTCCATGTCTTTCTTGTAGTGAGAGGCCTGAAACTGCACATGGGATTTGAGGTGCCCAGTGCCCAGTCAGGGGGACAGTCACTGCCCTGGCCACACTATTGCTGATCCAAGCCAGGATGCCACCGGCATTCTTGCCCACCTGGTTACACTGCTGGATCATGTTCAGCTGCTGTCAACCAGCACCCGCAGGTCCTTTTCCACTGGGCAAATTTCCAGCCACTCTGCCCCCGGCCTGTAGCGCTGCCTGGGGTTGTTGTGACCCAAGGGCAGGACTTGGCACTTGGCCTTGTTCAACCTTATATCATTGGCCTCAACCTATCAATCTGGCCTGTCCAGATCCCTCTGTAGATCAACGCTCTTGCCCTGCACTTCTTGCAGATGGTGCCATCTGCAAACTTACTCGTGACATCCTTGCAGTCCTCATGAGTTGTCTGCCCCTTCTTCCAAAAGTCATAAACCCTGGTTTTTTTCCTGAGTTTCAGCCTCAGCTCTTGATTCAGCCAGGCTGGTATTCTTCCCTTCTGGTTTGTCTTTTGGCACACAGGGGTGTCCTGCTCCCGTGCCGTTTGGATTTTTTTCTGAAGAATGTCCAGCCTTCCAGGACTCCTTTGCCCTTGGACATTGCCTCTCAAGGGACATGAAATGAGGTTCATGGAAATAAGGGTTTTTCACCAACCTCTTCTTTATTTTCCATCCTTTCATCTTTCTACCTCTCTGTCTACATCTCTCCTGGTTCTTCACTGTACACTTTAACTCATTTTCCCTACTTAGCAGATGTGGATTTTTTTAGATTTTTTCCTTTCTTTACCCAACTCTGTGTTCTAGGCATCCTCTTTGCATCTGACCTTTCCTTCCCACACAAGATTAAAGTTAAATATTGATGTTCTTCTCTCCTGAAGTAAAAATTGTGAGATGGTTATCACAGAATGTGCTCCTGTCATCTACTATCTAAATTAGTTTTTAGTTTATTTCCAATATGACTATACATGGCAAATAGGCCTCATTTCTAGTAGGTAGAAATTATTTTCTCAGCTACTAAACTGTAAGCTGGTAATATATGCAAAGACTCTTATTTTTTATTTAATGTGCAACGACACTGATGAGAAGTGTTCTGTAATGTAGTTTCTATTTTAGTCTGTATTATAGGGTGTTGCAGTCACCATCACATTTCAAACAATATATCATCAAATGTTTTAGAGTGGTGTCCGAAATACACAGAGAAGCCTGAAATATATTCAGATATATTTCACCACGATTCAAATAATATGTCATAAATATATTTCCAGTGTAGATTGACTTTTAATGAAAAACAGTCTTATCAACACCAGCTGTGCAAAATATCTTCAACATACTTTAATGTCTGATTTTGTTATATAAAACATTCAAACTAATATTGTGAGATGTATCACTGCCTAGTCACTAGAGTGTAATTAACAATATAAATCTGCCACTCTGATCTGCTGGACATAGATATTGAAGGAAACATACCTAAGTATATATTTTAAATTAAAATAAATGTATTATCACCTCTGTACATGCTTGGTATCTGTTTAAATGGACTGTCAGGTCACAGCGGTGCTTTGAAAATATTTCCTGACACCTGCCAAATTGGTAAATATTTCCTGGTTTTGTTGTGTCTGTTGAAAATAGGAATTTTGTAAGTGGGACTGATAATTTGACAGGCACCACAATCTCCACTTTGTCTTAATGTGGTTTCTATTGGCGTTCGTGAGCGTCCAGGGAAACTGGGGCTGAAAAACCGGTATGTTCCGGCTTTTTTGTTCTTCCAAAATAGGCACCATCTACCTCTTGGGTGGTCACAGACCACGCACAACTCAGATGCGTGGCTTAATTTTTGCAGAATGCGTGAATCTAGCGATCTAATAGATGCTAATACAGCAAGAACTCTGAATGCTGAAGTATTCCCACCCATCCTTTGCAGCAGCTGCCAGTGACCCCTGTGCATGTGCTGGGTGCCTCAGCTGTGTTTGGGTGGCTGTGTCGCACCCACGCCCGGAGAGCCTGGCTTCACTGCAGATGGTGGCTGGGATCCAGCCACAGTCCTGGCACCCCCATATCCCCTGTACTGCCTTCCTGCAGGATTCTCAGAGCCCGCAAAATGCTCTGTATAAACAAACTTGTGTTTGGATGAAGAAAAAGATAGAGATTTCTTTAACTTTATTAGGATGTGATGCTCCTGATCCTCCCTGATTCCCTCCCATCCACTGTGCTTCCAAAGTGGCTGCACCTCAGATTCCTGTGCTAGCTCCCTTCCTACTTTCAAAGGCTATTAAGTAAGAATTCAACTGAAATTAAGGGCAACAGTTGATTATGCATGACCTTATCTTCACCATTCTAAGGAGACACAGATTAATTTTTCATGAAATGACATAACTGATGCAGTCTTTCTGCTCTGCAAACACTGAGCCTAATAAAAGTGTTATTTGATAAACTGGGACAACTGAAATCCTATGAATATTACTTGAAAATATCTTTCTTCCTCACATGAGAAACATCTATTTTTGAAGAACAAATAATGGATTGGAATGCCATTGAAATCCAAACACAATATTAGTATGTTCCTGAAAAAAGAAAGGTACAATGCTGGGGGAGAATGCACCAGAGCCCTTGCAGCTGTGTCACACTTTCCTGTTTGTTATTTTTAGTTTTCCATTCATGGTCTTTATTTTGGGCTTTACTTTGCTTCCTATGCAGCTTCCCCTTAACTCCTGTATAGTTCTGTCTTACATATTTGAGGCATTTGGTTCTCTTTTTTTTTTTCTTCAAAGGAAACCCAAGCAATGCTGTCCAGTTTCAGAAACTCATGTTTCTCTTGGCAGTGGTTGAGTTCTTGCTTTTCTAAAGGCATTTAGGAAATTTATGTTGCTAGTTTTCAGCTTTTAACATACTCAGGTTCCATAAGCATAAGAAGCATAAGTACAAGCAGCACACAAGGGAAGCTCAAGTCTGTTCTACAGTATGCCCTGGTCTTTGTATCTAAAAATCACCAGTATCCAGTCCCACATTAAAATTCCAGGATGGCATTCAATAAAAAAAAGAACATAAATGGGCTCTGGTGAAACATTAAATTCTAAAGAAGTTCTGTAGGTTTTCCCCCTTTATATATTGAAGTGTTTGTAGTCTTGTAGAGCCATATAACTGATCTGCAGAACAGAGAATGTTATAATCTCTTAAAGACATACCACAAATATCACATTACTGAACACTTTGATAACAGCCTAGGACCTATCTGCACAGAACTGGTTACAAACCTCAGCTGATGTTTAAAAAAATACAAAGTTTTTTGGGGAAAAGTTTTGTTTACCTCACAACAAATTTCATTATAGGGGAATGCACTTCATTGCAGATATGCACTCAGAGACTCAGAATTCAGCAGCTACATGCTCAGTGCAAGAGGTGCTGTTAAAAACCTCAAAACTGAATCCCTTAGCACATTGAAATGGATTTCATGATTTCTTGGGACATGGCTCCCAACTGAGACTGAGAGCTTGAGGCTGGCAATATGAATACTACCTGACAGAAAGTACAAAACCAGAGGACACAGCAAAGGAGGGTGAATGGTGAAAGCATGCTCTACTCATTACTTTACAAAATCTCCTCAAACTGCTGAAATTTGGCTGCTACCATGTCAAGCAACAACATCTGGCTCCCTCTGGCCAGCATGAGGGCTGGCATTGACAACCACAGCACCTTAACACCACCACACCTGGCTTAACATCCATAAAGCAATGTTTGATGAAAACAATGCACAAATGCCCTGAGCATTAATTAAATTAATAAAGTAGATATAAATTAAATAATTACCAAGGC